GAAAATAACGGGATCAAATGTATACAATGTAATTAAACACGAACGTTGGTCCGGTGGTTTGGTGCCATCATCCGCATATTCTTCTGCTTCTTAATGCTGTTTCTGTGTCTGCCAGTGTGATCTGCTCCGTGCTATGGGTCGTGGCTTCTGTCAGCACACTTACGGAGGTCACCTTTTAACACCATGGGCATGAATGCAGCATTTTTGGTGCTGGGCACCAGGTACCGACTTTATGCTAAGCTAAGCAGAAGCATACTAAGAGGTTTTTGTCTATAGGCTAGCAATAGCCTTAAGTGTTGAAGATGTGTGCTGAATCCAGATGCGTGGTGAATTTGTTTATGGTAATAAATAGTGGGACAGAACATTATAAATATCTATATAAGCACAGAGAACAAGAATAATATTTTAATTATTATTTTAATTGTGATGAAAACCAGGACAATCCCAGACAAACCGTGACGTCTGGTCACTGAGTCTGGTTCCTACCTGGACCTCCACTCCATAGCCCATGTAGACTGTGATGATGTAGCTGCAGTCCATCGTAGAGTGAAAAGCAGAGCTGGACTGCGGTGGAGCTTCTATGTACCCCTCTGGCCCAGTCAGGTTCAGCTGGCAGGGAACTACAGGGACAAACAGCAACATGGACATTATCTGGATGGAAGCAGTAAGAACATTTTACAATCATGTACTAAACTAAATGTGCTCTCAGGCCAGCTGTATGGCTGCTGATTCTTCCCTCATATCTGTATTTGTGGCAACAACAAAGGCCTCCCAAAACAGCACTGAGCACTTTCAGCAGTTAGTTTCTTTAAACCATGAACATGAACATGAACATGAACATGACCTTTCCCTAATCCTAACAAGATGATTTTAGTTGTTGTAATGGTCATTTTGGAAGGCAATGACAAACATCTTATTTTCTTGTTTAAGCTTGTTGGGCTTAAACAAGGCCAAAATGTCAACTTTGTACATAAAGTGGCTGATCCAAATTATGGTCCAGATTGTGCCTGATTGTGATTCGGGGACCTGTGGTGTACCACTCTAATGTTCTAATAGTAGCAAAAGTCAGTATAATATGTAACAAATATTTTTATACTGTTGGGTATGTTGCCACTACTAGGATTTGGAGTTTTAGGCTACTTTTTCACCTGGTAATACTGTAACATGTTATCTCTATCTGGATACATTATGTGAATATTTGCATCTGATCACAGGAAAGGGGTCCTTTTGTGCTTCCTCAGCCAAGAGGTTGTTAACAAAGTGTGCAAAGAAGGTGTTCAGTTCATCTGGGAGGTATGCAGACATTATCTCAACACTGCTGGTTTTCCTTTTTATAGTCTGTGATAGTTCTTCGTTCAGACCACAAACAGCTCTCCAGGGTGCATACCTAGATTACCTATACTCCTCCTTTTAAGGGTTAGTCCATGCTTTTGGTTTGGTACGTGACTGTTGTTTCTTTAGTCTCCTAATCCCAGCCATGGGTATTCCCTAATGTTGGTTTATCTCTCCACCAACAATCTGGTGTGCAAAAGTTCCCTATAATAGTGTGTGATACTGATCAGTTGGGCAGTGCACATGTTGGGAAAAAGACTAAAGTAAATGACAAAAGAAAACAAGAAAAAGGCAAAGTTGAGGAGGAGGTCCAACACAGTAGCTGTTGTCAGTGCCATCTTCTCGTTAGTTCAGTCTTCTCATTAGCATTACTTATAATGTAAGAAGGCAATCTGTCTACCCAATTTTTTATTGATTTTTTTCTCATCCGGACTGAGAATCTAAGGACGAGTACCGCAATTTTGTGCTATAAAAATAAAACTAAACTTCAGTAGTCTGTTGCTTATGTGACTCGTCTTGCGTCTGGTAGTGAATTATTCATCACCAAACTCACTTCCTTGTTTCTAGCTATGAAGATGCAGACATGATGCAAATATCTCACATATACCCTCCAGATTTTTTTTTCACTGGAACAAGTTGCCTTCACCATAAGCTTATGATGTGAAAGAAGTGACTGTAAAACGGTGAATCAGTTTTTTTAACCTCACAACCGCCACAAAATTAGTTGTTTCACAATCAGAATTTGATCCATTCAGTCTAATAACATTTGGAAAGTGTAGAAGAGACGCACAAAAACCTTAAAGTTAAACTGAAAGTTGCACACTGCAGTATACAGACAGAAAGTGACATTTTTTGGCTTCATGCACTACTAGGAAACGAGACCCTCCCTTAATACATCCATGGTTTACAGAGACAGCTTGAGACAGCAGTAAAAGGATGATTGATGTGCAAAAAAACACAAACACCCCTAACTAGTTGCAGTGTTTGGTTCGTTCCTTCTGGGCTACTGTAGAAACATGGCAGTTCAACATGGCGGACTCTATGGACGGTGACCATAGAGTCATGGTATCTGTAGATAAGAACAGCTTATTGTAACAAAACCATAACGCTTCCTATATTCAGGTGGTTATACACTAATGAAAAAATGAATATTAATGTTACACACTGGACCTTTAACATGAGTTGTCCATGATCCAGATATCATGATATATCCAGATATTAGCCTTGTTTAGAAAAAAACAAGGAGAGCCAACCAGTATACATCAGTGTAACTCTATTGCACATATTGTACAAGTAGTGACATTGCTATAAACACACAGACACTCTGTCTGACTTACTTTGAAGGTTTTCTGCCTCTCTGGTTGCCTTTCTGAGCAGCTTAGCCCTGCGATGGGACAACTGAGGACAGAATATTTCCTAGTGGCCTTCAGGGGTTTCTGCTCCACCACCTTCATCCCTCCCTCTCTGTGAGCTAAAAAGTAAACTTTTGCCGAAGTGCTTCCTTATGAAGAAGAACATCCTCCCTATGTCCCTTCAGCACTCCACCTCAGGGAGTGTCCGCTCTGGCATTATTACTGCACTACAGTGTTGTCATTCACCCTGAGCCTGGATGTCTGTGTTACAGTGGGATTTTGTGTACAGTACTGCCTGGCTTGCTTTGACCTGCTGTCACCTTGCACACAGATGAGCTGATTAATCAAGGTGCTCCCATTGTGCTCCCCCTGACCACCCCTGACCCTGAAGTCCACTCTGATATTTATTTTCCAATCCAATCTCATAACCGACAATCTCAGAGTGCTGTGGTCCCTGTTTGGACCTCTTGATTAAGGGTTAGTGATGCACTGATGCTGTTGTAATTTATTCCAGCCACATGGCTGTGTGATCGTGAGAGATGCAGATAGAGAAGATATTAGTTGAGGGGTTGAACATAACACGGGTCCACTTAGAAGAGAAAACACATCCTCACAAGAGAAGCACTGCTGTGGTTGACGTTAGAAAGATGTTAAGATGCATGTCTGTTTTAAGGAATTATAATTGATAAAATATTTAAAGGATTCAATTTTATTTTAAAGTTTCAAATGAAGGATTAAAGTAATTAAAGATTTCCATGTGTTTTGTTGCTTAGAATAAAAAATGCATAATTTTCCTTTTGTTTTGTTTTGATATTACAGACAAAATACCTAATATGTGTGCAGACACATGTATTTGCTCATCTCATGAGAAAAGAGCAAATTAATCCGCCTTGTTTTTCTCACTAACTTTACGTACAAATGATCCAGTCAAGGTACAATGAGATTCACAAATGTTTTTTTTGTCTAGAAGGCCCTCACACACTGACATTTTGACCTGTCCCGTATGAAAGTTGGCAGCTGTGAAAGAAAAGTGGTGAAATCTTTAGTCATTAATCCAAAACGGTGACACATGTCCACCCACCGCCCATTTAGAGCTTTGGAATACAAAGACAGCTTGAAATGTCACAAATTTAGGTCTAAATGTCCACAAACCAACTCAATACAACATTAGTTTATATTTATAATGGCCAGCGTATTAAAATCAGCATAATGCATCAATTTATTTTATCAAGACAAGCGGCAAAGATAGAGGATATGTTGAAACTAAGTGGCAAACAGCAGCTAAGTGAAGGGGCACTCCACTGACTGTACACATGTAGATCAGTTTACTGAGTTTACTCATGGTTAGTCCTACTCAGTGAAAGCGGTTGTGTGCTGTCAGGTTGGAGAAATAACCCTGATTATGTCATCAGATGTATCTTGGGTCCAGCTTGGGACTATAAATTCTCAACAGAATGCCTACGCTATAAACGTATATAAAGGAGTGGAGGTTGGGAGATGTGGGCATTAACAGGACATTCTTATATCCAGGTAATTATACACTAATGAAAATATACCTATGATTATATTCCATTTCTGACAATAGATCCTCCTAAATGTTACACACTGGACTTTTAAGGGCCACTATTTTAGAATGCATGGCAATCACAAGAACATAGTGAATGTAAATTTAAATGGCATGATTAATTGAGATATGTGTAAAATCTGACTAGGTGCAGACTCATGCCGAGGTTGAAATGAGGGCGTTTCTACCTGCAACTACACCGCTAGATACCACTAAATCCTGCACATTTCAAGTCTAAAAAATCCACAAATAAAGGAAAGTGATTGCACATGTACCCGGTGATGTGTACACACAGTATGTTAATCTTATGTTGAAGTGATGTGTTGATTTAGCATAGAAACCCCCATGAATTTACATTCATTTAGAACATGTTGCTTGTTTGTATTGTTGTTAATATGTTTTGTATTCATTGCATAATTTGACTCAGCTACATTCAGAAATTAACATGAATTAGTATAATAGTTTATAAGTGTTATTTCCTGTATTATGTTGAAATAGATGTCTCTTGTTTACTTCAACTTCCTGTTTTTTTGTGTCCAGTTAACCTTTCCCTGAGCAGTGTATCTAGTCTTGTTCCTTGTTTGATGTCATTTCATTCTAGTTGCTTTGTTGGTTAAGCCTTGCCTTCCTCTGTCATTCTGACACCTGAACCTGAACCTACTGGAATCTGTAACTTGCCACTAAGCTCATTAAATCCCTAAACTGTTCCTGTCTGCATTTGAGTCCAATGCTGCATTTCCTGAACTGTGACAGTTAATGAAGACATTTTTATATTGGAATTAATCACTCCAATAAAATCAACTGACTCCAGTCACAACACATCACTACTGGCTCTCCTTTCCTTCCACCCACACCCACACACACACACACACACACACACACCTGCTTGCACACAGCGCTCTGTTAAATACATAATATTTTCCCCTATAATTATTTTCATATAGTTCTTATGGCATAAAAGGCATAATAGGACTGTGTTCTTACCTGGACTCTGCATTGTGGTGATGGTGGTGGTGGTGGTGATGGTGGTGGTGGTTGTCTCCTCTTCATCGGTGCCGGGCCTCACATTGTGCTTCAGTCCAGAATGATCTGGCCTTACAGCATCCTTCTCCTTTGCCGCAGTGGCAGCAGAGGGGACGACGGTGGCATGTTCCGGATCTTTTAAAACCGTGCTGGTGACTGGAACAGGGGTGCTGGGGTACGAAGCGACGGCTAATGCTAGGGTTGTTGGCACGTTTGGGCTTTCAGCCCTCTCGTCGTTGTCCAGCAGAGGCCCAGATGGCGAGGTGGAGAAGGTGGTCTGGGAGCTGCGGTGTGTGCTGGATCCCCCGCTGTCTTCGGAGTAGTTCGGTTGACGGCGAGGGCCGAGCGGGGCCTGGTGTTGTCGGGGGTTCCTGTAGAGGGGGTGGTGGTTCGGGACATTGACAGGCGGGGCGGTGGTGACCACGGGGAGCCTGGCGCCTGTGGCCTGGGTGGTGGGGTACAGGCTAGCCCCGCTCTCTGGAGGCCCCCCCGGAGTGATAGAAAGACCTTCCTCAGAGGCTGCGGAGAATGAAAGAGAATAGCAGATGTGGTTGGATGTGGTTGGATGTGGGATGTTGGATGCATGTGCTGAGGTTTCTGGTTTCACTTTCCAGCTTCCTGCCTTATCTGGCTCCAAACCTCTCCATCCACAGCCATTTAACACACTGCCAGTCACATTTTATATTGGTTAATGATGGAGAATGGTGCTACAGCAAGCAACCAGCCGGTGTCATAACGCAGCTCTGCAACAAAGGCCAAGAAGCCTTCAAGCCAAAAGACATCCATTTAAACACGCCAAAATCAGATTAACATGCTGACCTGCAACCAAACAGGATTTGTTTTCCTGTGCCTACTTACTTTTTGACTAAGGGCAATAATAATAATTAAGAAATTATAAAGATAATAGTGCCATGGATTTTGGATTACATACTCAATGTAAAAATGTCACATGGGGGTTGTATTCGTGCCTCAGCGGGAGGCAGACAACAGTGGCTGGCTATGCATTTGTTGTTTTCTGTTGTCGTGTTTTTTTAAACATATAGAAATTAATATACATTGATTTGATCTTAAATCTTTGTGGCGTCCCTGTGAAAAACTACAATGATTCTTTATTGTTTTTTTATCATTCATGAGTAATATTTAAAGCTGTTACAGGTTACAATTATACTATAGGCTATTTTTATCATTAAATAAAACCAATCGATCAATCAATAAATCAACCTTCACAGAGCATGTCTGTCATGTCCTTCTTTTGATAAAGAAGGGCCCCGGAGCCCATTCTCCCACTGTGCATTACGTATGGACGTATCCTATTGCCTTTACGTAGCTGTCAGCTGCAGACCACACAGCAGAAATGAAAACATACACATATACAAAATGTGTCTTTAGCTCCTTTACTACAAAACTGCTAGGTCCCTCTATATGTCATGAAGTTTGTGGTAAACTCTTTAAGCACATTAACAACCCCTGAACGGGAAAAGGAATTTAAAATGTGCCACACAGTGAACCATTCTAAAATTACAAGTTTTTTGCAGCAGTGGGGAGCAGATTAATTTGACTTTCCATGCAACAACTCACAATATTGCATTATTATGTGGTGGAATTCTGCCATTATTTTTTTATTATTTTACTGATTTAGTGTTGAATTCAGCAGTTGCTGTTGAGACTGACCGCACATTTCTATTTGATGCTGTGCACGCATGTACATTATGTGCTGCCCAAAAACCCTGTTTCTTTACTCAAAAGAAGAGAGCATGGAATTTCAAATAGCAGCTTTCCAATACCCTGTCACTGATTTATCTGTATCGAAATGTACGTTTTATTTCACAGGGCCGCAGTGAGTTCTGACAGCAGAAAGTATAACTTCATAGCCAGAAAATAAATCTTAAATTCAGTCACCCCTCTTTATCTCTGACTGTTCACTGCTCTGCTTCACTGTACTCCACTCTGACATCAAGGCAGAGAGAGAACCTGCCTCGTGCCTCTGGATGGAGACGGGAACATTCACTCAACCAGCAGCTCTGCACTCCCCCGAGCAAACTTATTCCATCTTTCAAAGCTGAATTTTAGACATATTTCCTCTCAACACTTCTTTATGTGGAGCAGTGCATTAGTGCCATTACACCACTGTGAGTCAATTGGCAGACTGAAAACTTATTATAAAACGCAGAGCAGTACAACCCAAACAATCCTCGTAAATTGTTCACATCATTGGCTTTTCCCCTCCCTATCCTCCTCGTAATAAGACTTAATATTCATTCCTGAGGAGATTTGATGAGCCGCTATAATTCTCCCAGTGTAATGATCAGCACTCCCCTCCCAAGTGCACCTGTGAGATCTAATCTGAGACCCCTTCAGGAGGCTATCATCCACTGAGGGAAGTCTTATGTTTCTTTAACAATGCTTCATTTCCACCATAATAGCTCCCGCTCTCTGCCGGCTAATAGCTATCTGCTTCAAACAATCAGGGTTTATTGTAGCTGTGCCACTTCCCACCCAGCGCCTCGCCTCTCAAACACACACAGCTACATCAGACACACACAGGCGGGTAAATCTACAAGGAAAATAATGAATGAGGCAGAATTGACTGACTGGGCGTGTGTGACAGGTAATGCACACACTCTGGGTGAGCAGTGTGTTTTGTCAGTTGCTTTGGCTCAAAGTAAATGAGATGTGTGTATGAAACATGACACACAGGAGGAGTCAGCTTTGAATGTGTACATCCACGGTGAAAGGTGTAGGTTTGGTCTCAAAAACATAATGAAGTCAGGTGTTCTTCAGCCAGCCAACAGATTTTTTTGCATTTACACACTTTTAAGAGAAGAAAGAAAAAAGCTGGCCTTGTTTTAATAATATATCAAGAAAAACTACTGAAATAATGCCAAAACATTTGTTATGTCCAGCTCCTCAAATGAGAGGATTTGTTCCATTTTTTTTATGTAAATTTAATATTTCTGAGGTTTGACAGCGGTTTGGATAAAAAATAAATTTCAAGATGTCACCCCTGACCCTGAGAAGTAGTGATTTTTGACAGTGAATATGGTGAAAATAATCGTCAGCTGCAGCAAAACTCCAAAAACTTGACTGAAATATATTTCTACCAACCAAGAACTGTCACAGTAAGGTTGTTCTTTACTGCCTTTTGACTCAGTGTCTTTTAGCAGAACATTAAAGGCGTGATCAACTAGAATGTTCAAAATGAATGAAACTGAGGCTGCAATAGCTTGACTTTTAGTCCCTGTGTGTCAAACTCCAAAACTGCTGCATTCTACAGTTTACATAATGAAGCTTGATAACACAGTACTATACTGTGAAATAAATGTTGAAACTGATTACATCGAAAGTAGAACTAATTCAACTCAAATTAGAAAACATTCTTGATCATGTAGTTTTAGTAATTTCGGGGGACACTGGCTTTTGTAATTTTTTTATTTGTACTGTTTAATCAAGAATGTTTTTAGAAAACTGAGTTTGTGTTTCTTATTACTTATTACAGTGTAGTGCAGTATTTATATACACTTTGCATGGTAGAGCATTGAGAAGTCGTCCTTGCCTACTTCTTGTCTTTCACCTCATCCTCATTAATATGCACAGTGATGCATCAAGGTGTTCCAATATCTAATCAGATCATCTTACACCTGTAGTGTTCTATTGCATATTGTTGACTGGATACACACACACAAACACACAATGCCATCTGAATGCTGTAACATTACACATACCACAGTGAAAGGACAATAAAACAATGACAATATGTATCACACCAACATGCAAAAGTGTGAAACATGCTCCATTATTGTTAATTGAATTATGTGGACCGGATGGTGGGAGTAGCATGAAGGTGATATAGAGCCATAGAAAGCGTGTGACTTTAATTAAATTGTCAGCCGATGTTGGCTTCTTTTAACCAAGACCACGACCTTAACCAAATAGTTTTTGTTCCTAAACCTAATCAAATCCTAGCTGTGGCAGATCAGAACACAGTAATATGAATATTTGGGGTTTTTTTGGGGCGATTTGTAAAGACACTGACAAACTATGTTGTTTTAGATGTTTTACCAATTCTACTGTGATCAGTAGTAATAGTGTAATAGGAAGATTGCATGACTTCTGAAGGAAACCAAGTATAAGTACTTATTTATAAAACCTTACTTTGATATGGAAATAGTCATTATTTCTGAGTAAAGTCTGACATAAGTGATAGTCCTGCTGGTCATGTAGTGGTAATGCAGCCTGTGGTTAACTGTGCATTAGCTTTATGAACAATGTGATAGGAATCATGGGCACCAAAGGGGGGGTGGAAGTTTATTAGTTTGTTAATTAGTTTGTTATGTTTCATTGTGTTTTGTACTTTCAGATAATTAGCCTGATCAGCCAGCATCAGTAATCAATACATACACATTATTCAGGCATTATTCAAACCAATAACTAACAGCAGTCAATGTCAGACAACCTTAAAAAACACAAGAATGTTAAAAAAATATACTTAGCAGTTTGAAGACCTTTAAGAAATATGACATTTTAACAATTCCTTACGTGTCCATAAATACACATAACTCGTAATATGTCGACAGTCTTCTGGTCAATTCAGCATCAATATAATCAATAAAGATAAACTGTATTCTGTACTCTCAACCTCTGTTGGTTAGCTGAACTAAGTGAGAGAAGACCGTGGGAATGAGAGGTGAACGTTTTAAAAAAATAAGATTAATCATTAAAATAAGTGCAAGTTGGTGAATCAGATAAACCATCAAACCATCAATTCATTTGAGATTTATAGATCAGGGACACGCACTTACAAATGAGCTTCTTAGAACGTGTTTAGCATGTATCTTTATTAATTGAACCTAAGCATACTGTGAAAAATGATCTTAAGACTACATTTAAGTGTAAATCTAAGAACATTGTTATAAAGGAGGCCCTTGCACTTTATATGCTCAACATCCTGCAACAGTGGGGCAGTTTATTCACTCAAAGTTGACCCATGAACATAATCCAAGCAAGTGCATCTCTGCACAGTGAGGTAATGAAGTGAAACTGATATTTACGTGGTATCAAACACCAGGGTCAGAGAACCTCTGCATTAGAATTATTAAAACAATCCTTAATGCCACTGAGCTGCCCAGATGGTAAAGGCCTCTTGGCCAAAAACATTTGACAGCTGAATAATTTATACCAAAGCGGTACATTAACACAGTGCTGAAGCCTCAGCCTGTGTTAAATGCTCATCTCCACAAAGGGTACAGTTTGTGCTGTTCTTTTTCTGTTGCTTTTTCCTTCCCTTCAGCAGCAGTTTTTTTTTCTAGTGTTTGTGATGCAGCAAGAGGAAGAATGTGAAAAAGGGCAAAGCACCTTAAGGGACACTTTGATGTCTTTCCCCATGGGCTGTCAAAGAGCCACAACAGAATTTAAGCCTCCCGTTGAATAAACCATGAGTCCAATACAAATTCCAATCATTAATGTTCAGAGGAGTTTCAAGTAGGAGACAAAACGGCCAGGAGGAAAAGGATCTGCCGTCT